GCTCTGTGGCCCCTGATTGATGCAAATCTTTGTATGTCTCAGTGTCGCTGGTTTTCAGCTCCCTGTCACTAATACTACTTTGAATGAAAAGAATCCTGCATTATGAACGGGTGAAATAACCCGCTTAACATCACAGATATTCCTGGCGATAAACAGACCGCTCTATGAAAGTTCCTGGAAGGGTCAGTCAGGAAGATTTAGCAGCTAATTCCTCTATATGACCATTTCTATCCCCAGATTAGAAATCACAGCACAGCGATTGTGTAAATTCCTGAGATCATAAAACCTTGCCCTGTGCACCAGGGGGGAGGGCTGCTGTGACTGTAAATACCCCCTCCAGCACTGCACACACCTGACATCCCTGAGAGGTTGGAGGTCATTGAGGCACATCCATCGTACAGTGCATGATGAATGACTTCCTGACTCAGGCCGTCCTATCATCTCACAGGCAGGTAACATATCTCATCGACCCGGGCGACCCGCGCCAACCAACGTCAGAAGGCCGATACGCGGTCCCTTTCCCAGAGCCGGCTCTGCTTACCAACAATACAGCACTGTACTGCACAATAAATGTCAGGACCTCAATATTATGGCTCAAAATTCCAGGAAAACAAAACTCACATTGTTTTCCCAAAAATTTGCTGCACAAAAAATCCGAACCCTTTCCGAAACGATATTCATACGCCAGGCAGCCGCGCGGTCACGTTGTTTTCTGAACGGAATTCGTTGGAAGGCAAAACGTCAATCTCTGCGCCTGAGCCGGCTCCGGGCTGCAGATTTACACTTTCCTGAGTTTAATCCTCAAAAGTATCCAGAGAAAAAAAATCCTCCGGAGTGGAGCTGGAATGCGGATTGGAATCGATTACCGCAGAGCGCGTCCAACAAGGCAGACCTTCTACATGGAGGGAGGGGGATCGGACGCAGATTGTACGGTCAGATTGTACGGAGTGTGCCGAGCTCTCCTGATCCCCAAAACCACAGGAAAAAAACTCCGCTGTATAAAAAAACAATGACACATCGGACATAGGTGAGGGGCCCGGGGCATCCACTTCACTTCACACGGCAGAGAAATAAATGATACATTGTGATGGAAAATGATAGAATTCTTTCCTGGATAGTTACATATTACTTATCTATTACATATCTATCTATCCATCTATCTATCTATTACATATCTATCTATCTATTATCTATCATCTATCTATCTATTATCTATCAATCTATCTATATCTATCTATCTATCTATCTATCTATCTATCTATCTATCTATCTATCTATCTATCTATTATCTATCTATCTATCTATCTATCTATTATCTATTATCTATCATCTATTATCTCCATCTATTATCTATCCATCTATTATCTATCCATCTATTATCTATCCATCTATTATCTATCCATCTATCTACCTACCTATCCGTCCGTCCGTCCGTCCATCTATCCATCTATCTATCCATCTATCTATCCATCCTTGTCATTATCTATTTCCTCTCTCCCTTTCACTTTCTACTGATCTCTCTTTTTCTACCCTTCTTCTTTCTTCCTCCCCTCTCCCTCTCCTTTTGCTGATTAATATTATACAGGATTTATATAGCGCCAACAGTTTGCGCAGAGCTTTACAAAATGATCTCTCTATTTAATTTACTATGTTTCGGGTGTCCGAGAAGTCGCATTACACAGGGAAAATGGCAAATTTCAGCTAAATGTACCTTTAACTACAAAATATTCTCTACATGTTGGCCACCTCTTTCTACACACATGAAGTCTTCTTCTCCACTTACGAGTCTGTTCATTCTTCCTATGTATGGAGAGTTTTGGGACATCCAGTACTGCTGATGGGGAAGAACCACAAGTCTCAGCATGCAAAGCTATAGGAAGATGAGGTCTGTAGTTGTTTAGGAGCTGCAGTGTTTAGTATCTGCTATATCTGGAAAATATATTACATCAATTCTTCCCACTACAGCAGGAATAGGATAGAGAGACAAGGGGATAGAGAGATAGATGGATAGATGGATAGATGGATAGATAGGATAGATAGATAGATAGATAGATAGATAGATAGATAGATAGATAGATAGATAGATAGATAGATAGATAGATAGATAGATAGATAGATAGATAGATAGATAGATAGATGGATGGATAGATGGATAGAAGGATAGATGGATAGATATGAAGAAAGAAGTAAAGAAGATAGAAAAAGAGAGATCTGTAGAAAGGGAGAGTGGATGAGGAGAGGGAGGAAGAGATAGATAGATATGAATAAAAAGGAGACAGCACTATAGAGAAAAGATAGGTAAAAATAGACAGAAAAATAGAGATAATTTCTTAAAGTGCTGTGCAAACTGTTGGCGTTTATATAAATCCTGTACATTATTAATCAGCAGAGGGAGAGGGGAGGAAGAAAGAAAGAAAAAAGAAGATAGAAAAAGAGAGATCAGTAGAAAGAGAAAAGGAGAGAGGATGAGGGGAAATAGATAGATAGATAGATAGATAGATAGATAGAATAGATAGATAGATAGATAGATAGAATAGAAAAAAGAGAAGATAGGTAAAAAGAGAGATAATTTCGTAAAGAGCTGTGCAAACTGTTGGCGCTATATAAATCCTGTATAATAATAATCAGCAGAAGGAGAGGGATAGGGGAGGAAGAAAGAAAGAAGATAGTTAGAAAAAGAGAGATCAGTAGAAAGAGAGGGAAAAAAAAGGGGGGGGGGGGGGGGTTAGGGGTTGGGGAGATAGATTGGTAGATAGATAGGTAAAAAGAGATAGAAAAAGAGATAATTTCGTAAAGCTCTGCGCAAACTGTTGGCGCTATATAAATCCTGTATAATAATAATCAGCAAAAGGAGAGGGAAAGGGGAGGAAGAAGAAAGAAAGAAAGAAAGAAAGAAAGAAAGAAAGGAAAGGGAAGAAGATAGGTAGAAAAAAAGAGGATAGATGGATGGATGGATAGACAGACAGACAGACAGATAGATAGATGATAGATAGATAGATAGATAATAGATAGATAGATAATAGATAGATAGATAGATAGATAATAGATAGATAGATAATGATAGATAGATAGATATAGATAGATAGATAGATGGATAGATAGATAGATAGATAATAGATAGATAGATAGATAGATAGATAATAGATAGATATATAGATAGATAATAGATAGATAGATAATAGATAGATAGATAGATGGATAATGATAGATAGATAGATAATAGATGGATAATGATAGATAGATGTACACCAGGAGCTCTATATACGGATTCGATGTTATCGGGACATACATGGCACTGACTGGACACCGAACCATCAGACTCGTCTACAGAGCTCACAATCCTTCGTGTATACAGAGCTGACATATACAGTGATACGTGATGATATTATATACTAGTGGTGGGGAGCGCGTCCTGCACACTCATCCACAGGACACATCACACCGCTCTCCCTCTATACAGAATATTGATGATGATACAGTGAAGTTGGGGGGCGGGGCAGGGTGGTGCGGTCGGACGCTATCTGGCGACTGTTGATCATACACACGGTGACAACACACATCACCCGGACACCGTCACTATGCAGTCCACACCACACTCATGTCCCAACGCTACGTACTCACCAGTCTGGGCCCAAGAGCTGACAGTCTAAGGCTACTTTCACACTGAGGAGTTTTTGAAGCGCTTTTGAATTATAAAAAAGCGGCTGAAGAGAAATGCTTCCCTATGTACATCTTATGGGGCGTTGCGCTTCCATTGCGGTATACAAATTCCTGCTTGCAGCATCTTTGGAGCTTGTTTGTTCAGTTAAAAAAAAAAAAACGCCCCGAAAAAGACTCTTTCCATTGAAATCAATGGAAACGTCTCTGAGGTGCGTTTTTTTTAAGTCATGTGATCAGAAAGTGCGGCAAAAGCACGCAGTAAAAACGCATGTGTGTTCTTGTGGCAGATCCGTGTGGAAGTAGCACAGAAGGCTGCCCAACTGTGGGGTGTAGGATTATAACTTTTTTTTTTTTTTCTATAGTTGAACTGGATGGACTTTTGTCTTTTTTTCAGCCAGACGAACTATGTAACTATGTAACAAATGCAAACATTTTTTTCCTGCTGTCCAGGATAGTTTCAATATCTTTCCACAATCTAACGATCGATTGTTAGGAAGGTTTTCCATAGACAGCTCAGTATAATCAGACAATACTCCCAATATTGATTGCAATCGTTTCCACAGATGCATCCTGCGATATCGGCGGTTGTAATCGGGAACTTTGTAAGTCCATGGCGATTCTTTCCTCGTCCACATTTGAAGGATCAGAAGATCGTCGGGGGTCCAGACACTTGTTCCAGTCGCGGTCGGATGCCCTTCGTTCTCTGGATGAGAGGATATCTGCTGTCTATAGCCAGAATGATCGTTTTTGGAGGATCGTGATTTGGTTCCAGTCACTGTTTCAGATTGTAAACCATCCAATACGACCTTCTGAGAAATCCATATCACCCGATATCACATTCTTATCGATTAAATATTGATTTCTTTTCCCAACAGTCGCTCCCAATAGGAATAATCGATCTATAAATCGACAACCCAATTGATCGATACGACACACACAGAGAAGTGGATATTGAAAGATACAATCCTAAGTTATTGATGTATCTCTGTTTTCACCAGGCAATCTGATCGATCGAAAAATACGGTCAAATTCATGAACAAAGCATTCCAGTGCTGCCGATCGATGCAACGCGATCAATCATTTTCAGTCCTGGACGATTGACTTACTTTGATCAAATCCAATCGAAATCGATAGTTTGCTGATTTGATCGTTTTGATAGAATCGCACATCAGTCGGATAATAAAATCGAAGTGCGTATGGCATATCCAGCCGTTGGTGGCTGTGATTGTACCTGGAATGTTACGATCGTTCGCGTTGGTCGAATCTTATGAAAATAGTCCCATACATGACCAACTTAAAATATAACCCCCCTCCCGACCATTGCTGAGGACAGAACTCACCTGATCCTGGAGGTGGAGGAAAGGGTTAAGGAGAAGGGGGTAAGTTGTGTGATGTACCCCGGAGATCGGCCCGCCTGGCTGCCCTGTGGGGTCCGGCTGTGTGTGAGAGGTGAGCAGCGACTTCTCCTGGCTGAGAGTCGAGTTCCCTCCCAGAGCTGGAGAGGGAGGAGAGGGGGCGGGCTGCAGGAGGAGAATGGGACAAGTGTTGGGATACTCCTCTCCGTCTGTCACTTTATATCTCTTCTTCCTCACACCCAGGTGACGCCACCCCCCACCAGCAGCCCTCACTTGGAGTCCCCCCCATACATCACCCTCTGAACCCCCCTTCTAGAATGAGCCCAACCAGAGAAATCTCCCAGAAGCCTTCGCTCAGATCAGCTGTGCGCAACACATGGCACCAAATGCCAATTCTCCAAATACTCCCCATTCTGGGGCCGACACCCACCCAATGGCAGCCGATGGCGGCATCTGTACAGAAAAATGATCAGGACCCCCAATGCCACATCTTCCTGTACCCCAATATCCACAAATTAATTCACTTCACTAACAATTTTATATTTAAGTCTACTGCAATGTTCGTTATCTGGTACCTTGATATGTACTGACTTTCAACCTGCACCCCAAAATCCACATACCCTGATGTGTACCGATCTTCAACCTGCACCCCAAAATCCACATACCCTGATATGTACCGATCTTCAACCTGCACCCCAAAATCCACATACCCTTATATGTACCGACCTTCAACCTGCACCGCTAAATCCACATACCCTGATATGTACTCACCTTCAACCTGCACCCCAAAATCCACATACCCTGATATGTACCGATCTTTAACCTGCACCCCAAAATCCACATACCCTGATATGTACCGATCTTCAACCTGCACCCCAAAATCCACATACCCTGATATGTACCGATCTTTAACCTGCACCCCAAAATCCACATACCCTGATATGTACCGATCTTCAACCTGCACCCAAAATCCACATACCCTGATATGTACCGATCTTTAACCTGCACCCCAAAATCCACATACCCTGATATGTACCGATCTTCAACTTGCACCCCAAAATCCACATACCCTGATATGTACCTGATCTTCAACCTGCACCCCAAATCCACATACCCTGATATGTACTCACCTTCAAACTGCACCCCAAAATCCACATACCCTGATATGAACTGATCTTCAACCTGCACCCCAAAATCCACATACCCTGATATGTACTCACCTTCAACCTGCACCCCAAAATCCACATACCCTGATATGTACTCACCTTCAACCTGCACCCCAAAATCCACATACCCGATATGTACCGATCTTCAACCTGCACCCCAAAAATCCACATACCCTGATATGTACCGATCTTCAACCTGCACCCCAAAATCCACATACCTTGATATGTACCAATCTTCAACCTGCACCCCAAATCCACATACCCCTGATATGTACCAATCTTCAACCTACCCAAAAATCCACATACCCTGATATGTACCAATCTGTAACCTGCACCCCCAAAATCCACCCAAATAGGCATAGATCGACAGCCTGCACCCCCCATATCTACATGCCCTTATATGTACAGATCTATGGTCTGCACACCCCAAAATCCACATACCCTGATATGTACAGATCTACAACCTGCGCCCCAATATCCACATACCACACTGAAAGCCTTATCTAGCAAGTTGGCCACCACTGCTCCAGTGTCTTCCTGAGAAAAAAAACCCAATCCTATCCCATATAACATCCGAACTGAACCCCTCAATCACTGTGTGAGCTATGAGGAACCCCTCTTCAGCCAGTGCACCAGGCTCTGTCAATTTTTTACCCCCCCCCCCCTTCCCTCCCTGGGGCCAGAGATCTATTCCCCGGACAGACCTCCACACTGTGTGCCCCGATCTCTGCCAATCTCTGAGCTGGCAAACCTGGAGCCAAGCTGACAGCTGTGACTATACCCCCCGGGGGGGCGCTCCGCAAACTTCATCCGGACTCAAGTAACACTCTGCAGTCTGCTGCTTGTCTGCTATATACCCCCCTATCTGCTATATACCCCCCTATATCTGCCATATACCCCCCTATATCTGCCATATACCCCCTATATCTGCCATATACCCCCCTATATCTGCCATATACCCCCCTATATATCTGCCATATACCCCCTATATCTGCCATATACCCCCTATATCTGCCATATACCCCACTATATACCCCCTATATCTGCAATATACCCCCTATATCTGCCATATACCCCGCTATATCTGCCATATACCCCGCTATATCTGCCATATACCCCCTATATCTGCCATATACCCCACTATATATCTGCCATATACCCCCTATATCTGCCATATACCCCCTATATCTGCCATATATACCCCCTATATCTGTTATATACCCCGCTATATCTGCCATATACCCCCTATATCTGCCATATACCCCACTATATACCCCCTATATCTGCCATATACCCCCTATATCTGCCATATACCCCCCTATATCTGCCATATACCCCGCTATATCTGCCATATACCCCACTATATACCCCCCTATATCTGCCATATACCCCCTATATCTACTATATACCCCCCTATATCTACTATATACCCCCCTATATCTGTCATATACCCCCTATATCTACTATATACCCCCCTACTATATCTACTATATACCCCCCTATATCTGCCATATACCCCACTATATACCCCCCTATATCTGCTATATACCCCCTATATCTACTATATACCCCCCCCCATATATATCTGCCATATATACCCCCTATATCTGCTATATACCCCACTATATACCCCCTATATCTGCTATATACCCCACTATATCTACTATATACCCCCTATATCTGCTATATACCCCGCTATGTCTACACTGTAGGCTGTCTGTGGGTCTAGTCCATACATGATCCATGTACTATGTGGACTGATCTATACGGACCACCTACTATGATCCATTATCTATAATGTTAGAAGTCTTCCCCACACAGGCAGTCACTATGCAATGTACATAGATATATATACTGCCTATACAGCCCCTTCTGTATACTGTGGTAGGGGGGGATGGGGGGCTATAATAAAACAACACCTATTGGAGACTTGCACAAGTCAATGTCATTTCAGACATCATTTTGAATATTCCCCAATCCTGCAATGAAGGTCCTTGTCCAGGCACTGTAGAAGAAGATGAAAGAAAGAGCACAAACCTTGCGCATTATCTCAATAAATAGTGACTAATTTTATTAATAAGGAAATATACTCACAAAGTGACGGTATAACAGGCATAGATAACCATAATCCACACAGGGTTACAGGTAAATCCAAAAGGGGGGGGGGATGAAGGCTAACGCGTTTCGAAGGGTGCTCCCTTCTTCATCAGAGCTGATCAAAAAAACAAACAAATACAAATACAAATTGCCCTCCAAATATTTACATGAATCATGATGGTACAACAGGTGGTGATACTGTAGATGAGCATAGCAATACACATGAAAATACCTTGTCCAGGCACTTCCTGTTATAGGGTGACTACATGATGCCCCTGTCTCCCAATCGTCCTCAGGTGTTGTCACCGTGTTGGATGGGCTTCCCATGAAGTGGCTATTTCAGCACATATAACACAGACATGGTCCCACTGTTGCCACCATCAGGAAACCCACCTTGAAAAATACCGTGCAGCCATTGCTGGAGTGTATGTAACTAGGAATTGATTCACCCAGCAGTGGTTGTTTGGTGAAAATCATATTCACTGCCAGGGGCGGACTGACCGTTTGGAAACTTGGGCACTCCCCGAGGGCCCAGGGTCAGTAGGGGCCCCATGAGATGCCCCCTGGTACCTTTTTCATAGGCTTTTTTGACTTTGGGCAAGGACACAGGGGCCCCATGATCCCCTATTGCCCGGGGGGCCCCATGAGTTGTCAGTCCGCCCCTGTTCACTGCTTCATAAATATGCCCCTTGGGTATTAAACCCAGAAGAAAAATACAATATATGGCAGCTTACTAATTCTTTTTGTTCCTGTACCTTATGTGAAAGAACACACCCCCCGGCATCCCTTTAGATGTGCGTTCTCCCTGGGGATGTGCAAACTTTAGTTGTGCAATCTGCCGATCGGTTGCTTGATTTCAAATCAAGCAACTGATCAGCAGATTGCAAAGTAATAAACCCAAAAGGGTTAGGCAGATGGAGGAGCAATGGAGACACCCTAGGACAGCAGCCTTGTCCATCTGGAAGGAGAGTAATATTAGATGAATTAGTAGAATGATGAGGGTTGAATAAAAGCTGACCATTGTAAGCACCACAGTCAGTGGCAAATGGTTTATCCCAACCCTCCAACTGCCACTTTTGCTGGAGAGTTTGGTCTGTTAAAAGAAGTTGAAGAATAACAGACTTACCGGCAGGATCACCAGGTGAAAATAAAGAAAACAAGCCCAAGAAAAAAAAAAACTAATGCAGCCGCCACCTCTAAGAATCAGTAAGCTGCAATATATGACATTTTTGTTTTTGGGTTGATTACCGCGTTAAGCGTCGTCCAGTTGGGATTCCCATCTACTTTAACCACCTCCCGCCCGCCATATAAAGAAATGACGGGCGCAAGGTGGTTCTCTCATATGACGTCCTCCCACTTTAACCGCACGTGCGCGGCTCCGGGGGTGTGCAGTGCGGCGATCGGTGGTCCCTCGGACACAGTGGCTCACCGATCAACAGAAAGAGCTGAACACGTCAGCTCGGTCATGTGATCAGCTGTGTCCAATCACAGCTGATCGCATGTAAATAGGGAAATGTCGGTTATCGGCATTTCTCTCCTCTCGAGCTGTCACGCTGACAGAGCAGAGGAGCGGAGAGCCGGTAATCGGCATTCCTCGGAGGGGACATGTACACTGATCATCATGGCATTGATGATCAGTGTAGCCCCTGCAGTGCCACCTGTCAGTGCCCATCAATGCCAGCTGTCAATGCCACATACCAGTGCACATCAATGCCACATATCAGTGCAGTGAGTGCCACCTATCAGTGCCCGTCAGTGCTGCCCATCAGTGCCACCTAACAGTGTCAGTCAGTGCCACCTATCAGTGCTGCCCATCAGTGCCACCTAACAGTGTCAGTCAGTGCCGCCTATCAGTGCTGCCCATCAGTGCCACCTAACAGTGTCAGTCAGTGCCGCCTATCAGTGCCCGTCAGTGCTGCCCATCAGTGCCACCTAACAGTGCCAGTCAGTGCCGCCTATCAGTGTAAGTTAGTGCCACCTATCAGTGCTGCCTATCGGTGCCCATCAGTGATGCCTGTCATTGCCCATCAGTGCCATCTACCCAGGGGCGGACTGACCATTTGGAAACTCGGGCACTGCCCGAGGGCCCGGGGTCAGTAGGGGGCCCCATGAGATGCCCCTGGTACCTTTTTCATAGGCTTTTTTGAGTTTGGGCAAGGACACAGGGGCCCCATGATCCCCTATTGCCGGGGGCCCCATGAGTTGTCAGTCCACCCCTGCAGCTACCAGTGCCTCATCATCAGTGTCTATCAGTGCCACCTATCAGTGCCCATCACTGCAGCCTCATTAGCGCACATCAGTGAAGGAGAAATATCACTTATTTACAAAATTTTACAACAAAAACTAAGAAAAAACTTTTTTTTTTTCAAAATTTTCTGTTCTTTTTGGTTTGTTTAGCAAAAAATAAAAAACCCCGAGGTGATTAAATATCACCAAAATAAAGCTCTATCTGTCTCAAAAAAATCATAATGTCATATGGGTACAGTGTTGCATAACCGCGCAATTGTCAAAGTGCGACAACGCTGAAAGCTGGAAATTGGCCTGTGGGCAGGAAGGGGGTAGAAGTGCCCGGTAGGGGAGGGGATAATGAGGTTGCGGTATGGAAGTTGCTCCATCCATGATCTATACGAAGCATTTCCCAACAATGTCCGATTGTACGATTCACGTCGGGGCCAACAAGACTTGTCCTCAACAACAGAGTCTCCGCCGTGAGACATTCCTGGACATGTGCTAAGTGTGGGCCTCATTCAGCCATCACAAAGAGACCAGACCGGGGGTGGGGGCTGGGGGGGGCCTCAGAGGAAGACAAGTGACAAGAATGAGAGGGAACAATGGAGCTGGAGTCCCAGGAAAGAGATTGTGGGGGGGGGGGGGGGGGGGGGGGAGACAAGAGGGACACCACAATGACAGGCTGGGATCAGGGAACTCCTACAGGAACTTAAAGTGAGAAAGGTGCAAAAAAAGTGTCAATCAAAAGTGATAGAAGAAATAATCCAGCCAGAGAACAAAGCCGTGATTGGAGGAGGTGGCACTCAGCTGCACAGACCTTTCTAAGGTGGGGGAACCCTTCAAATACCTTTTACACCTGAGGGAACCCCTCCTAGAAATGACTATATCTACAGGAGGCAGCAACCTTGGATGTGCTATCCGTAATGTACACCCAGGGGTGCTCTACACACGTGTCCCTCACATTGGTGGTCAGTGGGAAGAATGTCCCTCATATTGGTGGTCAGTGGGAAGAATGTCCCTTACATTGGGGGTCAGTGGGAAGAATGCCCCTTACATTGGGGGTCAGTGGGAAGAATGCCCCTTACATTGGTGGTCAGTGGGAAGAATGCTCCTTACATTGGGGGCCAGTGGGAAGAATGCCCCTTACATTGGTGGTCAGTGGGAAGAATGCCCCTTACATTGGTGGTCAGTGGGAAGAATGTCCCTTACATTGGTGATGGGAAGAATGTCCCTTACATTGGGGGTCAGTGGGAAGAATGTTCCTTACATTGGGGGTCAGTGGGAAGAATGCCCCTTACATTGGTGATCAGTGGGAAGAATGTTCCTTACATTGGTGGTCAGTGGGAAGAATGTCCCTTACATTGGGGTCAGTGGGAAGAATGTTCCTTACATTGGTGGTCAGTGGGAAGAATGCTCCCCTTACATTGGGGCCAGTGGGAAGAATGTCTCTTACATTGGCACAGCGGGTGTACAGAGCCGGGAACTCAGCACAGGGGTGGTGGGAACCCCTCATATTGGGCACAGTGTCTAGATCCTGACACTCACAAATCACCAGTATTATATGATATACTTTCTGTTCAATGCCTCTAATACATATATATCTATATCTGGAAGTAATAATTTTACGCCTCAATCGGGTTTTTTCTGATGTTGGGAAATCGCAGGTTTTCCATCTGCGGTGACTGAACTGTCAGACATTTTCCTCTTGAACCTTCTCGTCTAATGAAAGCCATCCGTGTCGGCGCTGCACTGCGTTTTGGTGCACAGAGAGGCGGCAGGTGCGTTGGTGGCGAGATGAAAGGCAGATGGGGGGGGAGATTTGCGTCGTTTCCCCGTTGGGTGGGACTGGATGCGGTGGGGGGGGGGGGGGGGGGGGGGGGGGATACGGATTGTCCCTCCGATGTCACACGTCTCCTGCAGCACATTGATCTCATTGTCACCTCGGTGACCCGCAGCAAAGACCGCTGACCCCGCTCTCAGGGAGGATGGAGATGGCCATGAACACATTGAGGTGACACTAATACCCGTCAGGCCTGGCAGGTAGAGATGACCCCCCCCCATTGGTCTCACAGTCTTAGTTTTCATCCTTTCCTGCAGTTTTTCCTGCGCGCCGTGCCCTGGCCCGCCTCCAGCTGTATCGCACATGCCTGGCCCTCCCCCAGATCCACACAAATAACATTCCTTCCATGCCTGCCATTTTCCAGCCTCTTCTTCTTCAAGTGGGGAAGTCAGATTCCTGCAGCCAACAAGTGCAGCAGGCAGAGAAAAGAACAGCCAACAACAGCCAGGGGCCCCGCTCTTCATCCCTGGGGGCCCTTGACCGCGCTGCGGCCAGCTGGAAATCTCACTGATATTCCGCAGTCGCAAACGGCCTCCCCTCCCGGCCTCACCTCCTTCCCTCCCCACGGGCAAACCCAACACCCTCACAAACTAAGCGCCTCCCTTATAAAGTCTGCAACGCCAACCCGCCATCTTTTACCGCACTTTCACTATTATTTATGTACAGCCAAAATTTATTTATTTATTTTTTTCGTTTTGATTGGAGAAGGGTTGAAACCTGTATTAGGATATTTATAGGTTATATATAGGTCTGTATCTTGGAAGAAGATTTCCCTTCATTTCCTGTCCTGGGGACACAACAGGAAGTGAAAGGAAATCTCTACAAAATGACATCACTTCCCTTCTTAGACAGTTTTCACCAGAACAGGAAGTGAGAGGAAATCTCTATAAAGTGACGTAACTCCATTTGTAAGACAGTTGTCACTAGAATAGGAAGTGATAGGAAATCTCTACAATATGACATAACTTCCCCTCACTTCCTGTTCTGGTGACAACAGTCTTACAAATTAAGTTACATCACTTTATAGAAATTTCCTCTCATTTCCTGTTTTGGAACGTATACAATATAGTATTAGTAGTGTATAGTCTGTTACACTGAAGGGGTCTCACCAGAACAGGAAGTGAGAGGAAGTCTTTTACAAAGTGACATAACTTTCCCTTACTTCCTGTTCAGGTGACAACTGTCTAAGAGGGGAAATATACAATATAGTGGTAGTAGAGAATAGTCTGTTACACTGGAGGGGTCTCACCAGGACAAAAAGTGAGAGGAAATCTCCACAAAGTGACATAACTTCCCTTCTTAGACAGTTGTCACCAGAACAGGAAAAGGGGAAGTTACATCACTTTGTAGAAGACTTCCTCTCACTTCCTGCTCTGGTGACAACTATCTATGAAGGGAAGCGAAGATACATCACTTAATAGGGATTTCCTCTCACTTCCTTTTCTGCTGACAAGTGTCCAAGAAGAAGCATTATGTCACTTCTGAGAGATTTCCTCTCACTTCCTGTTCTTCTAACAACTGTCCAAGAAGGAATGTTACGTCACTTCATAGAGATCTCTTACATCCTGTTCTAATGACAGCTGTCTAAGAGGGGAAGTGATGTCACTTAGAGATTTCTTTTCACTTCCTGTTCTGGTGACAGCTGTCTAAGAGGGGAAGTGATGTCACTTAGCAGAGATTTCTTTTCACTTCCTGTTCTGCTGACAAGTGCCCAAGAGGAAATGTTACGTCACTTTGTAAAGATTTCTCCTCATTTCCTGTTTTTCTGCCAAGTGTTCAAGAGGGAATGTGTCACTTTGTAGAGATTTCCTCTCACTTCCTGTTCTGGTGACAACCCCTCCAGTGTAACTAGCACTTTATTGTGTACTTCCTATTCAGCATCAGACAACATCCAGACGTGTCAGTTTTGGGAGGAGAAGCTCTGAGCCGTCACATGCAGCATGGATAATTGCTCTCCTGTCCCGTGACTCCATGGGATGGAGGGCTCCCCTGGCCGTGACAAAGGCGCATTGACGTGGCGTAATCCAGGGTGAATCACTGCTGTGGCCCCGACCTCTGGTGACGGTCAGCTCTTGGGGCAAGGTTCAGCTTTGTGACAGTTGTGGCTCAGGGCGTGCACACAGGAAACAATGATGTCACACAGGCGGCATTACCTTCTGATGGCCAGAATCCAACTCATTGTGTAGGGTCAGAGTCCCAGATGAGGCAATACTGGACACAGCCGGGCCCTCCAGGGGCTCTAATGGGGCCCGGTTATACCAGGAGACCCCCGTGAGCTTTGGGGGGGGGGGGGGGAGCGCTGAGTACTGCATCTAATGGCAGATTTATTCAGAACAGCTCAGGGTAAAATCCCGGCATCTGCTGAGCTGGGATGAGTTACATTATCCTGGTCTAGCCAATCAAGAAGGCTGAAGATGGAAGAAGCTGGTGAGCAGATGTTGGCACCAGGAAAGTAGTTCAGGGATGGTGGGAACCCCTCATAATGGGCACAGCGGGCGTATAGACCAGGGAACCCCTCATAATGAGCACAGCGGGCTTACAGACCCGGGAACTTGGCACAGGGATGGTGGGAACCCCTCATAATGGGCACAGCGGGCGTGCAGACCCGGGAACTCGGTACAGGGATGATGGGAACCCCTCATAATGGGCACAGCGGGCGTGCAGACCCGGGAACTCGGCACAGGGATGGTGGGAACCCCTCATAATAAGCGGGCGTGCAGACCCGGGAACTCGGCACAGGGATGGTGGGAACCCCTCATAATGAGCACAGCGGGCTTACAGACCCGGGAACTCGGCACAGGGATGGTGGGAACCCCTCATAATGGGCACAGCGGGCGTGCAGACCCGGGAACTCGATACAGGGATGGTGGGAACCCCTCATAATGGGCACAGCGGGCGTACAGACCCGGGAATTCAGCACAGGGATGGTGGGAACCCCTCATAATGGGCACAGCGGGTGTACAGACCCTGGAACTCGGCACAGGGATGGTGGGAACCCCTCATAATGGGCACAGCCTGCTCGACTGTGCAGTGTAGCATAGAAGGGGTTAAAGTCGCTCGGAGTGTAAATGGCATTCAGGCCTCAGTGAAGGTCACCGGCAGACAGATCCGGAGAGGAGACCAAACAGCAGCCAGGGCCGCACACTGAGAAATCCTTGGCTGCAGAACCATTTAGTGTATATATATATTTTCTGCATGCTGGGAGTTGTGGTGTCACAGTCGTCACTATTAGGGGGTGTGGTGTCACCGGCTCTCTCACTGGCCAGTGAGTGTCATTTGGTCCCGGCTCAGGTGACTGTCACACGTCCCGCTGATTGCCAGGACGCCCTTCATTCCTGAGATCATCCATCTGCCCGA